ACCATGATTCCGCGAATTGAAAACTGGTAGCTTAACCTTTGTTATAATCTCCAAGAGGGGTAGAGACAATTTTGTATGGAAGGAGGGTATCTTCATCTGAAGAACCTTGTGGAGTTGTAATTTCAGGCGCTGCATCTTCACTGCTAACATTTGAAATCTTTTAATCAGCATCAGTGTATTTGCCCTACAACTCAGGATCTAAGTCCCTATATTGTTGCCCTGGAGCATCATCAACTACTTGATCTGTAAAAGAAAACACATGAAAGGCCAATCATTATACTGCTTGGGTTTGCATTCAGATCCTCAACCACAGAAAAAACACACTTATTGGAGTCTAACTGCTACTTGATGTAATCCATACCATCATTACCTGATGAGAAACCACAAATTTGCACATGACTTTCATCAAATCTGGACTCTGAGGATGACCGCAGTTGATCGCATCCATCAATGTGGCTTGTGGCAGGCACTTAAGCATGGCAACACCAGATGAAAGACATCACGACGCGCATAGCAAATGAAGAGGAGACGGCGCTGCGAAGCGGGTGCACAGAACCTGCGCCCCTGTGACGGCCACGAGCCTGGGCGGAGATCAGCCACCGAAGGATGCGAGGCGGGTATGCGGACCTGGCGCGCTGCGAGGCCCGCGCACTGAACCTGCGCCCTGCGGGGAGGGATGGCGCAGTGACGGGCACGCGCGTAGTCGGAGGACGGCTGGTGGGCGGAGGCACCTTCCTCCCATCTGGGCTCACTGCGCCTGCCTCTGAGGCCGGGATTGGGAGGGGGACGGCCGGGCCTGCAGCGCTGCAGCCCCACGCCCGCGCCGGGGTGGGCGCAGCCGCCGTGCCTATGCCTGCGCTCGCCGCCCGCGCCGGGACCGGAGCGGTTGGGGCCGCTGCGGCCTCCACCCGCGCCGGGATATGCCCCCCCCCCGCGCCGCGAGGATGGAGGTGCTGGCACCCGCCGCTGCATCAGGAGGGAAGGGGAGGACGAGATGGAGGTGAGAGGCAGGCGAGGGAGAGCAGCGGCGGCGGCGGCGCTGGCGCGGGCGCGGGCGGTGTGTGCGCGCGCGTCTGTGGGCCGGCGGGGTTAAATCCTCTTTGCGAGTGCCCCGTTCTGGCACTCGGGAAAGTTTTTTTTAGTTTTTTTAAATTCTTTGTCGAGTGCCATCCGATCTGGCACTCGATAAAGAAGATTTTTTTAAAAAAAAATTAAAATTATTTGCCGAGTGACAGCTGTTCTGCCACTCGGCAAAGAGATGATTTGTCGAGTGTTATTTTTTAACACTCGGCAAACCATATTTTTTTTCATTTTTGACCTCCAAACTTTTTCTGCAGTCTTCATACAATACCTGGTACTCCATGTTCCAATATGGTCCATTTATCGGACTTTTTCTATATTTATTTAATTTATTTCATTTAATTGAATTTTCTTTGATAATTTAAATTATAACTACTAGTCATTCGAATAATATAAAAAATGAATGAAAAAAATGATATTCATGTTATTTAGTATAATGTGAGGCCGTATCCAGGAACAGATCATCAATTTTAAACATCTTATTCACGAAACATGACTACGAACTTACGGTCGAGTTGTTTTTAAATTCTATAAAAAGCAAACGAAGTCCGAAAATCATGAAACTTGTCAAGATGTCATGATATTATATGTGGAGGCTGTGATAAAAATTTGAGAAGGTTTCGCCCAAGTTGTCACGTACGATGCTTACCACCTCGTCGGCCTCTTCACGAAATCATGAAACTTCCTCGGAGATTCTTTGATTTGCAAGCATCGTACGTGACAACGTGTACGAAATCTTTTGAAAATTTTATCATAACCTCCACATACGATATCACGACATCTCAACAAGTTTTATGATTTTCGGACTTCGTTTGCTTTTTATAGAATTTAAAAATACTTCGCACGCAAGTTCGCGGTCATGTTTTGTGAACAAGATGTCCGAAATTTCGGGTCCGTTTCTAGATACGGCCCCACACTACACTCAGTAACATGATTATCATTTTTTGAATTATTAAATTCTATTATTCGTACCACGTGCAGTTCAAATTTATATTTTTCGAAAAAATTTAAGTAAACAAAATAAAAGTAACTAAATATATAAAAAAGCCACAAAAAATCCTCAAATTCTAACGAGGAGTTCCTGGTACTTAAAAAGGGTTGCACAAAAAATTTGGAAGCCAAAAACAAAAAAAAACTTTGCCGAGCGCCGGGGCATGGCACTCGACAAAGAGGGTCTTTGCCGAGTGCCAAGAATAAGGCGCTCGACAAAGAGGTTTTTTTATATTTTTTTAGAAATTTTCTCTTTGCCGAGTGCCTTCACAGGGACACTCGGCAAAGGTAGTTCAAAAAAAAGTAATTTTTTTAATTCCTCTCTTTGCCGAGTGCCGAATCAATAGGCACTTGGCAAAGACATTTCAAAAAAAATTGAATCTTTGCCGAGCGCCGTGGCAGGGACACTCGGCAAAGATTTTTTTGCCGAGTGCCTAACAGAAGGCACTCGGCAAAAGAAGGACGTGGCCGAACACCGTTACGCGGGGCAGCCTATGCCGAGTGCCGCGCTTTTGCCGAGAGCCTGGCACTCGGCAAAGAAGTCCTTTGCCGAGTGCCCTTTTTTGCTGAGTGCAATTCTTTGCCGAGTGCCCGATTTTTAACACTCGACAAAGGCTTTGTTTTCAGTAGTGTAGCCTACCTCCACTGTACAGTGCAATGGCTTACATGCTATGTCCTGTCCTCCACCTAAAACGGAGACTGTACAGTGCAATGGCTTATGGCTATGTCCTCTACCTAAAACGGAAACTGTATAGTACAATGACGTATGGCTATGTCCTCCACCTAAAACAACCCTCTTGGCTTGGTCTCATCAGTACGCCTGACCAGTGGCGGAACGAGCCCCCCCCCCCCTCCCCCCCCAACACCCACCACACACACACACCTCCAAAGCAATGAAACTTTTTAATACCCTTATTCCCTTATTAATAATACAATACAAAGCATATTGAGCCCATTTTAACTCATATTTTATCATAATGTTGTGAGTTTTTGTTATAAACAATAACTACATATGTAGAATCATCAAAAAAAATATGGTGAAATGTACACTTATGTACATATTTATCACACATACGATGTGTCATTATGTTTGCTGCCCCCCTAATCAAAGTTGTTGGTTCCGCCACTGTGCCTGACGTTACGATATGAAAACCCTTGATTGGGTTAGGTCCCACTTAAACATCGTACGTCGGGGATCCATCACAAACAGTGCCCTAGCCTAGTAAGCCGACACGAACATAACACATAACAGGGATTTTTGTGGAGGTCACACCGTCACATGGTGGCTTCTTCACACCATGTTTTTTTTATGAAAACACCATGTGTTACTGCTAGGGCAACCTTATTGCTTGCTTTCCATTGCCATCGTAGAGTGCAATGGCTACGGTCTCCACCTGCAATGGCGGTCCAGGGAAACTAGATGCATGTGTTATTAATGCTACTGCCTCCACCAAGTAGATTAGGTTTACAAGGGGTAAACATAATTGAGGAAATTTCATCCTATCAAAACACATGCATGGCATATTTTGTGTAACCAACCCTGCTTAGGTGAATACCACTAACCCAAGGCCTGCTTGGTTTGCGACCAAAATTTACCATGCCAAAGATTTAACAACCAAAAGTTGGGCAAAAAAATTTATCATTTTGTGCTTGTACCAATTAGCCTAGGTTTTGTATGTATTTGAGTACTTCACAAATTATCGGACTAATCTGGACTCACCTGCCAAGTCTTTTGTATGGTGGATGCAATTTACTCGATTCATATCAGTGGCCTAGGATGTCATGAGTGAGCAAAAAAAATGAATCCTTGATTCGAATGTTTTAAGTGACCATGTCATTTAGAACATTTAGTAATGTGCTCAATCTTTTTTTTTCAACTCGAATAATTAACAATCTCAACATTGAAAAATCGCAATGAAGAACGTGCATAAAAATGAATTTGTATCAAGAGAACTAATAAATGTATGATTAAATCTTGTTGACCTATCAACTGTCTATATGAATTGCAAATGGAACTAAAATCAGGTTATAGATATTCTTGTGGTAGAATCTTCCCATCAGGTTCGAGTATCTGACTTCGCATGGCACTCTTAGCATTTTCGACTAATTATTCTTTTAGTGGCGAGCAACATGATTATTGATAGAAAAACTCCTAGCAATTTCGCAACATGGCTCATCACACATTACGGTAACTTCACCCTCTTTTGTTTTGGTATAATTTTCTTGTGGTAATCAAAATCTATCTCATTTTATGCTTGATTAGAAAACCATATACTGCTTTTGGTTGTATGATTTGCATTATATTACCAAATTGAGGATTTACTAAAAATATTACTTAAACCAACTTAGCATAAATAGAATACACATTTTTTATTAGTACAACTTTAAGAATTAGAGTAAAATCTTAAAAAATATGCATAGTAAAATCGATATTCCAAAATGAAACTAAAAATGAACTGACAGTTATGAAGACGCAAATAATTACCAAATGAAATTGTATTCAGAAGTAATTATTGTTACTGCATAAACAGTACAAATTGAAATTGAAATTATGTTGAAAGTTAGGAAGAGTTAGGAATTTGAAGTAAAAGAAGAAGAAAATACCCGTTAAGATGCCAATGAGGATCCTTATCACTGAACATGCATGTCAATGAGCATATCACAGTTTGTACTAGCCACCCAGCCAAGTTGGTTGGCAGGCAAACTGCATAAATAGAGCAAGTGGGTGTAGAACGTGTCCTTTCTATGCACAAGCACAACACTATATAAGTTTTTTTTTTTGAACACACGGGAGAGTCTCCCGATACTCTTAAGAAGAAAGGTGAGGCGTCGTGCAGACTGAGCCCCTGCTCAGCTGACCAACCGAGCCCCCGCTCGGTTCTCCACAACACTATATAAGTTGACAAATGGAGAACATAACCACAATGAACATGGCGCCTTGGGTTCCCGATGCCAACCGCCGGCCGCCCTCCCCGCGGGGGCTCCCTCTCATCGGCAACCTCCACCAGCTCGGCAGCCTCCCGCACCGCTCGCTGCGTTCACTCGCTGCGGCGCACGGCCCCGTCATGCTCATCCGCCTCGGGCAGGTGCCTGTCGTCGTCGTGTCCTCGGCGTCCGCCGCGCGGGAGGTGTTGCAGGCGCAGGACCTCCTGAGCCCGCCGAGGGTGCGGGCCTATCGCGCCGTGAGGGAGCAGGAGGTGGAGGCGTTGGTCCAACGAATTCTAGAGCAGGACTCGGACTGCGCACCGCCGGGGACAACGGGTGGCGCGCCAAGGTGGACGCGCTGCTGGAGGAGAGCAACGTGCTGCTCGGCGCCTTCCACGTCGGCGACTACATCCCATGGCTCTCCTGGGTGAGCTACGTCGACGGCACGGACGCCAGGGTTACGAGGGCATTCGAGACGATCGACCGGATCCTCGACGAGATCGTGGACGCGGCTGCGACCAGAGAGACGCCATTGTCGGGGGAAGAAGCGAGCGACGATGCTTTCATCCATGTGCTGCTGTCACTGCAGCAGAAGGAACCAACTCATGCTGGGACAGCAGAGTGGCGCCTCAGCAGGGACAACGTGAAGGCTCTCTTGGAGGTAACGTAGGGCGATCAACCGACGCATGACTGGATTCATATGCGCATGCATCCGTGCTGACCCTGCATGGCTGCTCTGCTTAACTGATCCTGACGAGTCTTTGATTTGAATGCAGGACTTGTTTGGAGCCGGGACAGAGGCCACCATCATCGTCCTGGAATGGGCCATGGCAGAGCTGCTCCGCAACAAGGAAGTCATGCAGAAGCTGCAGCGCGAGGTGAGACAAGCTCGGAGCACCAGCAGCGACCATGGCAACATTATCGGCGAACAAGATCTGGCCGGAACAGGAATGGAGTACCTGAGAGCAGTGATCAAGGAGACGATGCGGCTGCACACGCCGGGGCCCTGCTGCTTCCGCATAAGTCCATGCAGGCCACTCGAATCAGCCACGGGTACGACATCCCGAGGGACACCATGGTAATCGTGAACGCCTGGGCCATCGCAAGGGACCCGGAGGCATGGGAGTCGCCGGAGGAATTCCGGCCGGAGAGGTTCGTCGGCAGCGGGGTGGACTTCGGGGGCCAGCACTTCCAGCTGATACCGTTCGGCGCGGGGCGGCGGATGTGCCCGGGCATCGACTTCGCCATGTCCGTGGTGCAGCTCGCGCTCGCCAACCTCGTCGCTCGGTTCGACTGGGCGCTGCCGGAGGGCGAGGCAGAGCTGGACATGCAGGAGACGGCCGGGTGCTCGTCGCGGAATTCGGCTCCACTCTGCGCCGTTGCCACGCAGCGCTGTTTCTGCTAGAGGACCGGGTTCCCCCTCTAGTTTTCATTCAAATCGTCTCATGCCCCAAAACGAGCAAACCAGACATGAGTGCTCGCCAAAGCTGCCTCAAGATTTTGAAATAGGGTCATGCTCATTACTCAATAAAAGTAAAAAGAAAAGCTCATTTGGATTGTTCAAGCTACTGAGGGCGGGTGATGTCTGTTTGGAGGCCTGGAGCCAAGCTAAAAAGATGAGCCCTTTAATATAAAATAACTATAATAATAGTGATGTTTCTAATAAACAGTGTAATAAATGCAAAATATTCTTATTAGACAAATTATAAATGTTATCTTAAATTTTTTTATAATATTTGCAGATGTGAAGTTATTGATGTTGGCATCAAAGATCCTCATTGTTTGAGTACTAGTTGCATAGGTTTGTATAACCTTGCAAAACTAGAATTGTATATGCGAGTTCTGTCTAACCCGGCACCTTAGTTGCTCATATTAGGATATTTGTAAGGTGCTTGAGAATATAGATAGATGGGTGTAGTCTTGGCTAGACCGAGTAGTTTAATTCCGCATTTGTTTCGGTTAGCTGACGTAATTTAAGTTTTAGAAAAGACTATTCACCCACCTCTAGTCCGCCATCTCGATCTATCACCGATCTACTTTTGAAAAATCTAGATGCAATACTTTCAACATACAAAAGAAGAAAGATGAAAGATGAAACACTTAAAATATACATCTGAAACGCTTGCAAAAACACGTGAAAAATACTTGAAAACCATTGCATCATATATGTAACATCCAAATAAAACACTTGTAACATATATGTGAAAGATATGCAAACATCCAGATAAACACACTTGCATTATATGTCGGAAAAACAAATAAAACATTGGGAACAGACGCTTGCAACATACGTGTAACATTGGAAACAGATGCTTGCAACATACGTGTACAAACCATTGCAATGTATGCAACAACCCGATCTACTTTTGCAACATCCGTATGGAACACTTACAACATACCTCCGAAACATCTAGAACATACATTTGCAACACACGTTTTCAGCGCAACGGACGACGCGGCGAACTGACGCGGTGGAGGCGGCCGCTACAGCAAATGGTGGAACCCGATGCGGTGGAGGCGCCCAGCGCGGTGGAAACAGCCGCGCCAGTCGGATGGAGATGCCCCGCTACGGTGAAGTTGGCCGCGGCAAGGCTACCTAGGCACGGTGGTGAGGAAGGACATTAGGCCAACGTGGCCCAAGAAATTGGCGATGAAGACGGTGGCATAGCCCTGCGCCTCAGCGCCGTCGATCCACTACAGCGGGCAAGGCGAATTTGGCTCATGGTTCGATGCATCCTGATGGGAACGGGGCATCCAAAATGCCCTAAACAAAGCATTGCTGTTTTATTTTCCACATTGGTGTTAGAAGTGAATGTAATTGAATAAGATTTGAAAAAACTGTATCTTTCATTGATCTCTGAAATACACTTATACAAGTGAAGGGGTATCACGAAGGGACATGACTATTCCCAAAGGACATGCCCTTTGGGAGTAAAATTAATTGTCTAATCATATCCACTAATCTTGTACTCGATGGATGAGATCACTTCGTGAACAGGTGTCTATTGGTGGCGTCTGTTCATGGCGTCGGTTGTGAGACACCAATCATAACACTCCCCCTTGATCAAATCTTCTTTGAGATCAATACAACTGTAAGCTGAGATTTCTCGAAAAAACCTATGGAAAAAATCTGAGGAATACATAGATATACCATAAAAAGTCCTTTAAACCTTATTGGAAAATAAGGAGAAAATAGCATATTTATTTATGATTTAAATAAACCACTATGTCATTGGTATCCCATTAAAAACCCCAATGGGAAAAAAATATTGGAGATACGACGTAAAGATAATTCCCCCAAAACATTTCAGAAAAAATATGAGGAGCAATATAAAGTGATATGTCGCTAAAACTCCTGTAAAATCCCAGTGGGAAAATTAAGAGAAAATGTGAAGACATATTATTAGTATTGCCTCTTGGATAACTCGCATGAAAGGTTTTTCAGGGAAGAACCATGGGTGAGTTCTGAGGGCTCTATGTGTCTTTGATATTTCCCACAAAAACCCCGGTGGGGAAAATAGAAAATATGACACATGCTTATGTTAATATTACATCATTAAAAACTTTAACAAGAAACCTTGTGAGTAAAACTTGTGAAAGAAAAGAGTATAATATGATACTGGTACAGGTCAGCATCTAGGAGATGTCTCCCCCTGATTCTTACAAATTTCGAAGTCGTCTCATACCAATCTTATGTACAATTTTTTGAAACATAGAAGTTGGTAAGGACTTAGTAAATAGGTCAGCGAGATTATCACATGACTAGATTTACATGATGTTTATTTCCCCGCTTTCTTATAATTCATGGGGATAAAACAACTTAGGGGCAATGTACTTAGTGACATTACTCTTTATGCAACCTGTTTGTATCTATGTAACATAAGCGAAATTATCTTTATAGATAATTGTAAGTGATTCAATCGAACCAATACCCCATGATTGTTGCATGTGGTTAATCATTCTGCGAAGCCATACACATTCATGTGATGTCTCATATAGAGCAATAATTTTAGAATGATTAGTAGAGGTCGATGTCAGAGTCTGTTTAAATGACTTTCATGAAATAGCTATACCTCTATGTAAGAATACAAATCCTGTTTGGGATTGACCATTATGGGGACCAAATAAGTAACCAGCATCCATGTATCCAATCATATTGGGATCATGATTTTTTAAATAAAAAAACAAGATCCTTTGTGCCATTAAGATATCTGAGGATATGCTTCTCTCCCGTCCAATGACGGCGAGTTAGATCTGCACTATGTCTAGCTAGTAAGTTCATTGCAAATGCGATATTCGGTCGAGTGCAATTTGCAAGATACATAAGTGCTGCAATGATATTGAGATATGGAACCTGTGGTCCCAGTATCTTTTCTCCAATATCCCATGGTCTAAATGGATCTTTCTTTATTTCTAAAGAACGAACAACCATCGGGTTTAGTTAGGATATGATTTGTCCATACTGAATTTCTCTAATATTTTCTAGATATAGGTTGGGTCTTACCCAAATCCTCCATCTCGAGATCAATTCCACATGATGGAAATTGTATCTAAAATGATTACTTAATTATTTATGTATCATGATGATATTAAAATAATCAATATGCGTAATCATGCTTATTAATTATACACAATGTATGTTGCGATTTGTATTTGGATTCACAATGTGAAGTCCATTGGGACTTATACGTCCAAATCTATCAAATTCATTTGATCTGCCAATTATTGAATTTGAAAACTTCATTTTCACACATACCATGGGGTATGTTATGCTAGGTCTCTGCGTGAAACCATATGCTACAAGTTCTCATTGTTCACCACCTTGCTTCTGAGATGAAACTATGTGAGAAGATATTACTATGGTAATACTTATCATCATTGAACAAGAGCACTCTCCTTAATTGCCACCTTTTAGTTTGACCAAATTTGAGTGTGAAGACACTCTGCCTAGGACTTTTTGTCTGGATCCAGTAAGGTGAAGAGCAATCTTTGAGGAGTATATGTCATGATAATTTTTAGTCTTTAAATGATTGATTCGGTTTGTTGGAATCAATATATCATGTGAAAATGTTAACCCTTGTGGACTCCGTGTCCTTTCCCATATGGAGTCAGGGTGTTCTGATGTCCCAGGATCAGAATTTGGGTGCATCGTTGATCCGGGTGGATTTTGATCTGGGTTTTCAATGTTCATCCATTTGGGTGTCTACCAACTTGATGTTGGCTTGGATTTACTAATTTGGAGGATCTTGTCCTTGGTATCTGTGGACGCTTACTTGGAGCATTATCCTTAGGAGCGGCCGTACTTCTCCCCATCTTCTTTAGAAGTGAGAGTTGAATGGTTTTAATTGGTACCTCCATTCTTTCGGGCACATTATGAGTAGGATAAGAAGATTTTGTGACACCCTTATTATCAGTAAATACTTCTGGCAGATTCTTTGTAATATGATGCAAATATGAGATGCTCTAAATGATTAGGTTTAGATTCTTTGGTACGTGGATGTGAGGATTGCTCTTTTGATTCCTGGCAATCATTGTGTGGTATAAATCTCTCCCTAATGCCTAGAATTATCCTAAAATTATGATCAACATACGGGCAATGTGTAAATCCCCTGTAGAGTTACCTCATTGGGATCCCTAATGCCCATTGGTATACTAGGGTGGTGATATCGGTATGTGCAAACATACTCGATGTGCAGATGGAAAATGTTTGGTTGTGGCCAAAGTTCCATGTACGCACTACAATGGAGGGAGTTGTATAAGTGCAGCTTGATGAATTTGAATTAATGATGCGGTGTGTAAGGCCACATGAAACCAACTTTGTGTCGGTAAATTACAATTCTATTTTAATAGGTTATTAAACAACAAACTTGATTCTCTTGATGAGAGATTTAGTGTGGCCATTATTTGTATGCTCATAAGATACTTAATGATGAAGTTCCTAAAAACCAAACAATCCATATAATGGATTAGATCCCGTGTCCAGGATCGTTTGCTCTAAACTGAAGAATGTGAGCAAAGTATTTGGTAAATTTGTGGTACCTTATGAGTATGGCACACAGTTAGGACAACATTGTAGATGCATAAATGTGCATTACATAGTATCTTTATGGTCCATAAAATGGCAAAGAGTCACATGTATGTTCTTGAATTTCTTCAAGAAATTTAGTGGCTCATATTGATGCTATGACCAATAGAATCAATAATAATTCTCACGTTATCCATATGGTTGAATAACCGAGGTAAATGTGCCAAGTCTTGTTGACATCAAGAGGGAGAATTATTCTGTACACGGCATTGGATACGGGTTATGTATGTGTAGTCCAATCAAACTGAGGATATTTTGTTTAAGTACTTGATGTGCCATATCTGTTGTTAAGAGAAAATACCCCTCTTAGTTGTTATCTTGGGGTTTCGATATGAAAAACCACATTGACGAATATCTCTATAATTTTAATTGGGTATATTATGGAATCAGAATACAATAATTGATTCATGATTATTATTTGAGTACCAATATGAAGTATGATAGTAGCACCACCAAAGCTCACTATCATGATATCGCGTCAAGCGTTTATCAAAATATTTCTATGTCTCTTTGTAAGAGTTTAGGAATATTTTGCTTCCCTATATATATAGAGTTTGTGGTGCAATTGTCAACTAGGCAAAATTTCTCTTTGCATTTGGATTGACTCCTGTATAAATCTATATATAAATTGATAACATTTTATATTACAACACTAAAATGGGACCCGGATACTAGGTATCTTTGTAAATAGGAGAAATTTTGGTCTCCAAAAAGGATCAAGCAAAGTAAATTCGATGATCATTTTATCCATGCTCATAAGACCCACTTATTAATTAAGTATTTGGTTGTTGCTTGGTTCCTCCATGAAACTTGTTGTGAACAATTGGCCTTCCTGGTGGTATTAGGTTGAAGATTGAAGCGTGCTTTATATCTTTATTATTGAGACGGATATTTATGTCCAATGGATTTCTAATACCGATCAACTAATATATCAAGGCATGGAATTTCCAAGTTGTGTGGCTGTAACATCCACAATTGGGACAAAGTTTAACTTTGTCATGTTTGAGAAATGCTTACCCTAAAGAATGCATGGGGCTACTTCTTATTGTTCGGTTAAATCTTATCGTTAAAGTTCTTTGAATGGCATTGTATGGCATCAAACTTGTCATGATTCTAAAAATTCAACTGTACTTGAGGTAATAGAGCATCGCTATGATGCTAATGATGATTGCTCATTCAGAGTTTAACATACACTTAGACCTGAAGTATTGTATGAATTAATCCAGAATTCATATGGTAAGTTGTGGGCAATCGCAAAAAAACGCTGGACGATATTTGGGGAACAACATAATTCTATTGTCAAGTGGACGTAAAGTCCTAGATATAAAATTATGGCCAATCATGGTTGGTAGTTGGCAAAATTATTGCCATACGTTGTTCATATCACTCTTTGGGAGCTAGCCATATAGTGCTTCGATTTAGATCCATTGAGATACACAAATGTGTGATCTGGATGTGTATGGTGCTTTGTTAAATAAAACTCCATATTTAAATTGATCATAAGCGGTGATGCTCTCTTATGGGGAGCATCAAATATTGCTATGAATCCATAGAACATCAAGTTTAACATTACGTCCATTGTCCCTATTGGATAATGGTGACCATCAAGAGCGTTTCTAACTCTTTGATGGTCATTTATCCTACACGAGAAATACCATCGAAACATTTAAAGTTCTTAAAAATGTTGAGGTGTGTTGTAATGGGATGCAAAATAAAGACAAGATAAATCTTGTATTAATGATTGTGTAAAAGTCTCATATGCATAATAACATGATGGAGGTAGTCACCATAAAGGTGTAGACATCAAATTGGACATAATATGTGTTAACAGTAGATGCCAAGTTACTTATGCAATTTGTATAAACACATCGTAAGGTAGTTATCAAAATTGATATAGACCTTAGCTAATTTGCAAACGAATTGGGTATGCACGTTGAAGATAGTCACTAAGTTGTTGACTCAGTGTAGATTCTACAGTAGCAACTATGGTGCTACCTTGTGTATGGCCAATAGGAATCCAAACTAATGGTAGTCATCATTGTGAAATGATGTAGACCGTATGTTCCAATCTGTGATGTTGGGTACGCACGTTGAAGATAGTCACTAAGCTAAAACTTAGTGTAGATACCACAGTCGCAACTATAGTGCTACCTTGTGTATGGCTAACATACAATGTGGAACACTTGTGTTATACAAATAATGAGACAATACACTTAATCAATTTTGCATTAAAAATATAAGCACTATGAGCTTGAAATAAAGCATAAACGGGCTTAACATGAAATGAAAATTGCAAATAACAAAGTAATTGCAATAAAAAGGGCATGATGCAAATAAAGCATAGTGAAATATAATGCAGTCGGATGACTACATTTTAAACTGCAGGTTTAAGCATAAAGGTATAGTGCGTAATTAATCTAGAAAGATAATTATTTATTTTACAGAAAACGCAAGGCCTTTTCTGCAAAAGCGCACAACCTTCTGTCCGGGGCCACTAGCCGTCGGGAGGCAGGCCGGTCACGCGAGGCGCAAGCCATGGGCGCAGGCAACAGGGCCTCCGGCCGTGGGCGTCCGGCCACCGCTCATGCATCTTGGGGCCGCCGCCGCAGGCCGTGCGTGAGGGTGCCGGTGCCGCAGCCGGTGGAGCGCACGAGCGTTGTAGACGCGGGCAAGGGCGGACACGCAAGTGTCACGGCCGCGGCACGGACGCACGAGCGGAAGCAACGGCAACGAGGATGAATTTGGTGAACAACAAGATGGCATCGGCGAGTGTCGTTGCCTGGGGTACGAAACGCGGCTGTATTCCATACCTTTGTTCTAGTTGTCGTTCCTGATTTTGATGACGATGTTCTTCGTTTCTCTCATGTTCTCCTCTGCTGGAAAGAAAACGTGAGTTCTGTACGATGAAGATCGCACCTTCCATAGCCACGAAGAACGGCATCGTCGTCGGTGAACAGCTTGTCTCCAGCGATGTTCCTGTGGCGAACTGCCTTTGGCCTTGTTCTTGAGATCGATGGCCGTACAGTAGTTCATCACTCCATCGTATGTTGTCTCCGGTGAGGCACGCAATTGAACAAGATTTAGAAAAACTGTATGTTCTATTGATCTCTAAAATATATTTATAAAGTAAAGGGGGTGAATAGGTGTCTATTGGTGACATTGTTGATGAGATCATCAAAGAGGTGTCTATTGTGAGACACCGTTTCGTAACAATTGGTGCACAGCTCCGGTGAGGAACTCTGGCTGCCATGAGCACAGACGCTTTGATGCTTCCGCTTTCCGGGGATCCAAAAGCACAACACGTTAAACCGCAGATTCGAACAGCCGTCCGCATATCCAGCCAATAACTGATTGCAACCGAAATGAATGCGATAACTTCAAAGCTCAATAAAACGCTAGAGCGACCACAGACATGCTTGTCAAATCCAGGGGAACAATACCAGTCCACACGGACCTAGTGCCAACTAGCGGCAACACAAAGCAATGGGAAACTAATTCGACCACTACCAGCCTACTAATATAAGGAAAAAGAAGCGAGGGGAGAGGAAATCAGCTACAATAATGGCACGGCACAGCTTCGACAGCATAGAGCATCTAAAACAATGGGCTGGAACAACATGCCCTCTCCGAAGATTACTGTCCCTCGCCAGCATCGCCTTTCGAGGCTTCATTGCCCTCATCAGCACCATCCTCCTGCACATACCAGATACAAATTTTTAGCACCGGATAAGAAGAGTAGACAGGCAACAGATTAAAGGTTAGGTTTATTTTGGGAGAAGAAAATACCGTGAGGTCAGAGGTCCAAAGGGTCAAGTTGTCCCTCAGGAGCTGCATGATCAGAGTGCTATCTTTGTATGACTCCTCCCCAAGGGTGTCTAACTCAGAGATAGCTTCATCAAACGCCTGCAAAGATTAGACAATCATTATCAATTATCAAAGTTTCAATGGCACAAGGACTAAGGCATGCACAATATAAAAGTTACATGATCAAGCAACCGACTCAAATGCCTCCCAGTTGCCACAAATTAATCAAGTTACATACTCAAACTGTAAAACACACGGCATCATCATCTTGATAATGTAGGTGCCAGATATTACAAGTATCACCACAATCCAATAGAACATGAACAATCCTTTTAACCAGGTGCATAATAACAAGCAAGAGTCTAGCAATAACAGGGCAGAATGGCATAAAACTACTAGAAGCAAGCCTGTTTAGATATGTGCAAACATGGAGGATCAGCAGCTCATCATATCAGTGGTAGCATTACTAATCAGAAACTATCATCATATCAGAGGTAGCATTACTAATCAGAAACTATCTGATCAAGATATCTAGTCAAATTGCAATGAGAACCTATAAGGGCATAAGCTTGCCGTATGAGAAGCAATAAAAAGATCCTGATATACTGAACAATTTAGGACAAAGATCCTATAATTTTTACAGTCAAAAGGCACTTTTGGATATTTTTTCTGCCCAAGCTCAAATGCACAAACAACCCTCACCCTAAACACAGTAAAATGTATGTATGTAGTAGAAAAGTAGATGTGATTCCAACCTGCTTTGCAAGGTTGCAAGCTTTGTCTGGGGAGTTCAGAATCTCATAATAGAACACTGAGAAGTTAAGAGCAAGCCCAAGCCTTATCGGATGGGTAGGTGCCAACTCAGCCAGAGCAATGTCCTACACAGTACATAGCAGAATAAAACTTCATAAGAAAACAGTGTAAAGACTAACAGTAAGCATTCAAAGAAATGGACTTGTCATCCTTTTATGATATGAAAATATAGCAACTACCCTAGAGACCGTTGTCATATTATCAGAACAGAAAAAATGAACAAACCTGAGCAGCCTTGTAGGCCACCATCGTACTCTCAGCAGATTCCTTCCTCTCAGCACCAGTCTTAAATTCCGCAAGGTACCTGCCATAGTTAAGAAGAACAAGAAGGTTAAGAAATCTGATTGGTTTCTTCAGATTATACATATATGGTTGCACATCGTAATATTCCATTGCATCCTTCCCAACCTATGATAGTCACCCTTCATCTTGAGGTAGAAGACCTTTGATTCAGCAGCAGTAGAGGAAGGCACTAGGTGGGAGTCAAGCAGCTTCAGGATGCCATCACAAATGTTGCTCAGTTCAGCCTCAATCTTCCCGCGGTATTCCTTGATAAGGTTCACATGCTCTTCGTTCTTACGAGACTCCTCCTTCTGTTCAATGGAAGAGACAATGCGCCATGAAGCACGGCGAGCCCCAATCACATTCTTGTATGCAACAGATAGGAGGTTACGCTCCTCCACAGTGAGCTCTTCAACATCTACAGTCTTAGCCACCTTCTCCATATACTCAACCATCTCCTCATACCTTTCGGCCTGCTCAGCCAGCTTGGCCATGTAAACATTCTCCTCCCTCGACATATTGTTAAAAGAACAAACTTACTGCAAACAAAGGGAAATGATAAGCCATTGCCTAAAAGTACAAAATGTCAACTAAAATGATTATATGGGTAAGGTACATGGCTGGGCACTAAACTCGACAAATGTCAACTAAAATAAAATGATTATATGGGAAAGGTACATGGCTGGCCACTAAACTGACTTAAGCCATTAAGCCCCTTCATGTTTAATAAGAACAAGCATATTAGTAACATTTCTGAGAAATAGGAAAGGGGTCATACAAACCTGATTGAACCAGTAATACAGCCACACCAAGAAGCAGCATCTAATCCAACACTAGCTTGCAGCACCCACATTCAGGTTCAAAAATTGCAATAACAGACCCCACACAATGCAGGTTATATGATCTGTTCATTCTGTTGTGATCCCCCAAATCCATCAAATTAAGAAATCAGATAGAACTAACCGATTTACACTACTGCCTAACAGATCACTGAAAAGGACAAACCGGATCTATCCTTGACAAGGTGAAACATGACCCAAAATCCGACACACCTATAACAGTACATAAATCGAGAAATCACATCCAACACCTAGCAGCAAGTGATAGAACTACTTTAATACACTAACCGTGAAGGCACGTGTACATCCAGATCAAATATCTCAACACACTACTTCACTCTCAGAAATTCCACATTCAACCATCCGTGTCCCCCGCTCCAAGCCTCCAACAGATAACAGGCACCGTTGCTAACCCCAAAAGGGGAACGGAAACCCAAAAGGTGCTCAGCAGTCAGTCCTCGCACCAAACTACTCCCAAATCAGGCGGATCTACGCGCCCCGTGCGCTCGAGGCCTCAGATCTCGCGGATCGAGCTCGAAGAAAGCCACCGAGCAGCCCCCGAGACAAAGCGGATCTAGCCGCATCGCAGACCACCACCCGGGAAAAAAAAAATCGCAAGAACAAAAAGGGCGGAGGAAACTCGCACCGCTCCCGCAACTCCCGTACCACGAACACGCAACACGCAACTAGATCGAGCAGGACAGCACTCCTGACAGCACGCAAGATTAATTTTCAAAAAAAAAAATCGGGAACCCTAACCTCCTGGCGCGGGGCTGGCTCTTGTGCGCGGGGGGAACTACGGATGCTGCGGTGGACAGGGCGAAGCAGCGTGGGGACGTTTTATAGCGGGACGCGAGCGCGAGGCTACGGTCAGCGAGCCAATGGCACGGCGCCACGGCGACGGCAGGGGGCCCACACCGACACCCCTCGCGCAAGGCGTGGTGGGCTGCGGGAGCCTCTGACACGCGGGCGCGGCACACTGGTGGGACCCATGTGTCCTTCGGAGCGGGAAAGATGATCCGGTGCGGTTGGCTCGGTGTACGTGGTCGGTGCGAATATCCCCTGCGAACCTCTCCGTCTCGGGCTCCGCGAATTGGCAAAAAGTCGAGCCCGTGGGTATGACATGTGGGTCCGGCCTGGTTGCGAACGATCGGTCATTTTTCTTCCCCAAGGAAATGTCCTGTTTAGTATTGTAGTACTCCTATGTTTTGCTAAAAGCACCGGGCACGATCGGCAGAAAAGGCTTGTGATTCATCGGGTAATCAAGTGATTATTAGTTCCTGATCCGACGGGGCATCTCAGCACTTGAGCGACATGCACAGCTGGATCAGCTACACCTGCACATGGTACTGCACACGAAAAGTTGTTCTTATTGTATACTCCCTCTGTCCAGTAAAACATGCAACTATGGGTTACGTGCCTATTCGTGTTTGATCAAGATTTTAGTGAATAATATTCATATTTATCACTCTAAATTAATTTATTATGTAAATATATTTCATAACTAATCTAATGATATTTATTTTGATGTTATAAATATTTATTGTTTTTTATCTACCATTAGTCAAACATAATATACTAAAATATGGTATTGTCCTAGAATAGCATGTTTTCTTGGACGGAGAGAGTATATATAACCCTTCTTTCTATTTCAAAGGAAAAGGCCTGAGATCATGCAGATAGCAATCCTTTTTTTTCTTTTAAGGTGTTTGTTTGGATGCGCATGTATTCATCTCAATCCACATGTGTTAGAGTAGAATTAAACTAAATTACATTTCATTCCACTCTAGTACATGTAAATTAAAGTGAATACACATGCATTCAAACAAGGCCTACAATTATGTTTTCGGTTACCAGAGTTGACGAGAGGCCTGAATTTGGACATCGGAAAACAGACAGCCTCCCAATTTAGACGCTCCTAAATAAACGGAAAACGAAATCATCTTTGATAATAATAGAATAATGAGCCTATTCGTTGGTTGGTTTTTAGGCTGATAAACGCGACTGGTGTTGGTTTGTTGTAAAAGAAAAACACTGTTGAATGACTGTAACTGAAAGCAAACAGCGAACGGGCTGAATAAAAAGGATAGCGCCGTATAAGTTTTTGTCAAAGAAACAACGCGCTTCCCGCTGGCTAGTTGCAGCAGCCCACCATCCACCAGCCGGCAGTGCATCGGCATCGCAGAGGTCGCCGTCACGGGTGACATGACTAACGCTGTGCGGACTCGCATGGGGAAGCAGCCAAGCACGATCGCGTCGAGCCTTTGACACATCACGCTGGTTCCATCTCGGCGCAGAAAGCAGAAAGGGATGGCATCTCTCCGAACGGCCGAAGCAATCCGGAGAGTGATGGATGGGTACAGGATGCAAATCCAGCTGTGGCACGTCTTTGACCGCGTTCTTACGGCAAAGAGATGGGGATCAGCCGGTGCATGCCACCATACTCCCTCATGCCCTGTTTACCACCCAAAATCCAAAATTTTTTAAGATTCTCTGTCACATCGAATCTTGCAGCACATGCATGGAGCATTAAATATAGGTAAAAATAATAACTAATTGTACAGTTTGCCAGTAATTGACGAAACGAATCTTTTAAGCCTAAATAATCCATAATTGAACAATTTTTGCCAAATACACACGAAAGTGCTACCGTGTCCATTTTACAAACTGGAAGGGATCTAAACAGGCCGCCCTCAGTCAAAAAAGACTGTTGTTTTAAAACAACGGTCTTTTGGACAAAGGGAGTACATATCTTACAGTATCATACAGCATTGATTCGTGCGATAATTCGTGCATGCAGCTAGAGCTGGTTGGTGACAAGTGTCAACACTCTACAGCCAGCCAGCCGGCAAACTCAGAGCAACATGGAAAGCAAAGAAGCTGTACATACCGTGCTGGTAATAAATTGATAATGACTCGATATATAGCAATATAAGGTGCATCATCTTTGACCAAGTGTGGAAAAAAGTGCATCCGGTTTTGTTTCAGATAATTTCACATCTTAGAATTGTATATGTTCTGATGGCTAACTTTTGGCTAGGGAAGCACACGGAATTTGTGAGAGGGAACCACAGCGGCATATACGGAGAATACAAGAATTTTTCTAGACCAAGCTAGCTAAACTGCAGGTACATCTTGGTGTGGAAGACCATACCTCATAAGCTGAATATACAGAGAATACAAGAATTCTTCTAGACCATGCTGAATAAGAAGATTATAAGCGAATAACATGCTCAACTGCAGACGGCACAGGAGGTGTGGAAGGCCATACCTCATAGCTCTGAATAATTCAAGGACGTTTCTAAATCGACTGGCATTAATTTAAGAATAGAAGCCTACAAGGTTCCATCAGCGAAATAGAATTACAAACCAGGAAACAGCTAATTATCATCGCCAATAATCCTTCTCTTTATATCATCAATAAGCTCGGCCAATTCTTTCCGGTTTTCCTGCCAGAAAAAAAAGTCAGAACCAAAACCTGGATATTCTAAATGTACAAAATCAGTATTTCTCTGTGTTACAGATCATTGCGCCAGGGCATATTCAACGTAAATTATTTGCATTTTAAAGGCTATGTGAATTTTCTTCAGATTAAACAAAATGCAAAGGACATTGCATCTAACTTTGACAAAGCACACTAGCCAGCTGTTAGTATCTGCTAGGCATGTCAGGCATGGACAGTGGACAACTTGATCTGTGCAAGCTCTTAATATCAAGCTGTGCATCTTTCCACGGTTCTACCAACAGCCTTTTAGGTGTGCAAAGCAAAGGGACAACTTGAACTTGAGAAACTCGTGTTGAATAGTGGAAAAGAAGTCTCACAGCCAACCTACATGGTTTTAACTTTTAAGATTACCTGAAAAAGCAGGTATCGGTACACGAACCATGCAGAGTAGCTGAGCCCCACTAGCTCCAGTAAGCCTGGGAGCTACATATCATGGCAGGGGAACAAAATAATAATAAAATAAGTAAATGACAATATGAATAGCATCATGGTCTTAGAGAACAAACAAACACAAGTAAATGGAAATAGCAAGATAAGCTAGCTATATACCAATGGGACAGAGTCGAGAGATCTGACTACAACCAAGGATATCCAGATAGTGAGGATTGCTCCAGCACCGTACAAGGCAAGAGAGGACTTGTTCTCCATTGCATCCCACTGTGGTAGACATCATGGTAAATTTTTGTACTAAGATTATTAGCATAGAGGTATATAACTTTGTAAGCAACCTTATCTCTGAGTTCAGAAAGGAGCTCTTCATCAGAATTATTCTCTTTTGAAAATCGTGTTGCCGTTAATTGGAGTTGAGAAATCTTCATGGAATCTGCTGAGAAAGAATGACATTTTGTTAGACTGGTTTTACTGATAACCAAATTCTGAAACATTTGTTAGATAACTTTGCAGTTACATAGCAGAAATTGAAGCCATCTATTTCTTTGAAGGGGCTAAATGATTGGAACCTTTTTCTTCAAACAAAAGAAAAGATTACCCTGACTTCCTAAAGAAACTTTTTTTCAATGTTTGCTAACAAGAACGGGCATACTTTACCGAATCACAATTATGAGTTATAACAGGCTGCACAAACTCAAGAAGTTAGCTTGGGTTTATCTAGTTGCCCGAAGAATATGTCAGTTTTTAATTAAAAAGAAAAACAGACAGATCTTGTCAGGTAATG